GCGGCCAAGTGCACCTGCCAGTTCGGCCCCTGTTAGCAAGAGGCAGAGGAAGCAAAGTTTCCAAATTCCGTGCAGCAGCTGGAAGCGCTGCTTGTGAGATTTGCTCGCTGGAAGCTGCTCCTGACAAATTAGAGGCATGAGCCGAAGGTTTGCGGTGGGGTTAAAACAGTGCTCAGCACCTGCGTGTGCAGGTCCTTGAAGGGGGTGCTGCTGCTGGTGCTGCTGCTGCTGATCCTGCTATTGATTGCTTGTTTGTATTGTGAATTGCCATGATGATGCTTGTTAGCACAGACAATAGTAGTAATTAGTAGCTGCACTGCCAGAACTGCACATGAACTTTTGTTGTTGGCTGCCACGGAGGCTTTCGCTGTAAATTTTGGCTCCAGAACTGAGTCCACTGTCCACTGTCCATTGTCGACTGTCGACACTGCCATGGACGTCCACTGTCCATTGTCGACTGTCGGCGCCGCCATGGACGAAGCCCCTACTGAAATCCTCTCGCCGGCATCGGAGAGCGACTCCGAGGTCGAGGATGTTCAAAGGGAGCTCGAGAACCTGGAGCTCATGTCCGTTTCCGCCGAGGGCGAGACTGAGACCGCTTCTGCTGAAGACTTGGCGACGGAATTGAGTGTGCTGCTTGATGAAGAGCTGGGAGAAGTTCGCATATCAGTGAAACTGATGCAGATGACGGAAATATGTGTGTGGTGCGGGATGGTCTATTTCGAGCAGTACCTTGATGGCTATGAGCGCTGCCGCCTGGACTCATGTTTTTCTGAGCAGTATCACTGCTCGTGCAGCGGTTGAACCGCTTGTGTGTGCGATGTCCATGGATCACACGCCGTAATTGCCCTACTACCCATGGATCACACGCCGTATAATTGCCCTACTACAACACTGTCCATTGTTCACTGTCACCTGTCCACTGAGACGAGTGACGGTGACAAAGCATCCATGAGACTGGCAAGTTTCCACTTTTGCCAGACGGCAGGAAATTAACAGTTGGCACCAGCAACTTGCCGCAAGAGCCGGGGTTTTCAACATGCTCTTTGCGTCTGAGAAAAATGACCTGGGCAAGCCTGCTATTTCGCCATCATACCACAGTGGACAGTGCACAGTGAACAGTACAGTGGGTGTGGGTGAGGGCAAATAGGTGGGGAAAGGCGACATTAACCGATGGAGGGGTCGTTAAATTCGCGACCTTTTTTAATTGTGTGGAGGGAACCTGTTTTAAATTTGTGGTGGAGGGTTCCGGCTGCCGTTGTGCAGGTGCTGCTGTCCTACCTCGACAAGCTCAGACGCTGTCACACACACTGTCCACTGTCCATTGTCAGCAGCAGCAGCCGCAGCAGTAGCAGCAGCAGTAGCAGCGAAGTGGCAGTGGTGGTAGTACTGCCAGAAGCAGTGGTAGTATTATAGGTAGTAATAGTAGTACTAGTAGTAATAGTAATACTAGCAGTTGTAGTGGCAGTAGTAGCAGCAGCAGCAGTAGTGGGAGTGGTAGTAGTGGCAGAAGCA